TGATTAGAACATTTGATCCTTATTTTTGCAGTTTAAAATTTGAATTTTTATTAACCTTGATTAAGTGGAATTCAACAAATTTATGTTTTTTTCCATAAAAATTGCAATTATAACTACTAAAAACATCCAACCCTACAATTTAAATTCAAATCTAAAAAAAAGAAAATAAATGGAATTCAAACTTTCGGTTCTGATTTTTTAAAATTTAAAATTTAATTTTTTACCAACACCCTTATTGATATTCCCTAAACCTTTTTCCTTCTCTACATTTTCAACAAACATTTTCAGTGGTATTTAAAAATTTACTTTTGTTTTCCAAAAAAAAAAATATTTCGTACTAATCAACAAAATCGCAACCTACAAATTTCTTACTTATTTTTAAAATTTAAAGTTTGGATTTTTTTTAACCTTGATTCAGTGTAATTATAAATTTACAACTTTTGAAAAATAAAAATATTTTCTAAATACTCGAAAGAACCCAATCTACGGTTTGAATGTATAAAAATAATAAATTTGATTAGAACATTTGATCCTTATTTTTGCAGTTTAAAATTTGAATTTTTATTAACCTTGATTAAGTGGAATTCAACAAATTTATGTTTTTTTTCCATAAAAATCGTAATTATAACTACTAAAAAAATCCAAACCTACAATTTACATTTAAATCTAAAAAAAAGAAAATAAATGGAATTCAAACTTTGGCAAGTTTGCTGATGTGTCGCTTTCTCCTTCACTTTCAGCTTTGTGTTCACATTACATAATTTGAAAAACCTTTCCTTCTTTGGTAAATCAGTTAATAAAATAAATATAAAACAAAATCAATTTTTCAAGATGAATTCGATGGACAAGATTTTTTGATTTAAATCAATGGTCAAGATTTGTTGTAAATGTTGGTGGCAGATAGCTCATTAATGTATATCTGACTGCTCTTTTAATTTCCAAATTTGAATTTGAAATTTAACTTGAAATTTTAAATTTGATTTTTGAATTTTGAATGGTGAGAGGCAACTTATTTAATGTTGACAGCCTTACAGGCAACTCATTGGAATTGGTCAGCTGATTCAATTGCTTTTTACATTGGAATTGCTCATCTGAATTTTAAATTTTGAAATGGAATGACTCAGCTGTTTTAATTGCTTTTTGAGGGTGGAAACAGACACCTTATTCAACTTCCCTAGATGCTTATCACCATAGATAATTGTGATAGACTCGCTAAAAAAAATTCAAAGAATCAGAAGTGGCCAATAGAAAGGCTATTAGCTAAAAATAGACTCGCTAGTTTAGCTAAAAATACCAAGATATAAATAACAGAAACTATACACAGCTAACATATTTATGGCTCAAGCCAAACCTATATCTCTGAACTTTTTACGTTCTTCCTACAACAACTGGCCACATCACAAAACTCAGGCCTAGGATAAGCAGAAGCCTTTCTGGGAGCATCTGCACTATTTGTCAGCAGTAGGGCGGCCGTTGGGATGGCCGAGTGCAGAACTGCGTTCGCGATGCTCTTTCTGAAGACAATTTTTTTTCTGCATGTCCTTTGGTTCCTGAAGCAGCTCTAATGCTCTTACCACTTCATCCATATTTGGCCTGCTTTTAGGTACTGCAGCAAGACATTGCAAAGCAAGTGTGGCTGCTGCTTGAGCTCGAGTATGGGAATATTGTCCCTCAAGACGCGGATCCATTACTCGAAAAACTCGGCGTTTGTTGGATAGGTAAGGTTTGGCCCATTCAACTAGGTTATGTTCTCCAGGTGGTTTGTTATTGTCTATAGCTCGTCTTCCTGATATTATTTCGAGAAGAACTACTCCGAAACTATATACATCACTCTTTGCAGTGAGATGACCTAGCAGAACAAAAAAAAATCCAGTTATGAAAATATAACAGGCATCACTTCCTTGTTTGCATATTAATATGTAAAACTAAAAACTAATTAGGAATACAATACACCAGAGATAATACCATACCTGTTGCAAGATACTCCGGTGCCACATATCCACGGGTTCCGATGACCCTAGTAGAGACATGGGTTTTATCACCAGTTGGCCCATCTCTGGCCAAACCAAAATCAGAGAGTTTGGGCTTATAGTTCTGCAAAGCACCATGTGATGAAGCATTTTAGTAATCAAGTAATAAATGCATCATATTCAACCATAACAGGACATGCTAAAGTTGGAATTATGTACATACAGCATCAAGTAGGATATTTGAAGTTTTAAAGTCACGGTATATGACTTTAGGTTCTGTACTATGGAGAAAAGCGAGACACCTTGCAGCCTCAAGGGCTATTTCCAATCGTAAACTCCAAGAGAATGACTGATAATAAGAACCTCCTGCATTAATGATGATTTCAGGCAACATATTAGTATTAGATTAGAACTTACAATTGAACTTTAAATAATAATAAATAAATAAAAAAAAATCTTTTAATGGGAACAAAAAGAAGTCGACGACTAAAATAGAAGGTAAGGTAGTAACTTCTGAAGAGATGATTGTCCATGCTGCCCTTAGGCATAAATTCATAAACCAGAAGCCGATGCTGATCCTCGAAGCAGTATCCTATTAACTTGACAAGATTAGGATGCTGCAGATGCCCAAGATAGTTGATTTCAGCCTGAAGATTAGAATAATAATAATATGCATCAGAGAGGAGAGGAGAGGAAACTGAAGATTAGAATAATAATATTGAAATGATACTAACCAACCATTCTTTGTGACCCTGGAAGCCCTCTTGGTTAAGCCTCTTTACAGCAACAATCATGCCGATTCCTGGTTTGGTAGGAGCAAGTGAATGCTCATCAATCCAGCCCTTAAAAACAGAACCAAATCCACCCTGCCCTAAGACACTATCTCGGCGGAAATTTCTTGTGGCTGCTCTTAGTTCACTGTAGCTGAAGCTTTTCAAATTGGAAGATTGCTGCAAGATCTCATCGTCACTTCTAGAAGTAGTAGTGACAGATATGGAGGCTGATGATGAATTACTGCTGCTATTATTTGAGGAGCTGATGTCATGGCCACTCCTCCTGCTTACGTTTACACGTACACTTCTAGAACTAGAAGTGAACCCTACATCAATGCCATGCCAAGAACATGCAAGTCAAAAAGGTTAATTAGCTCGCTCATTCACATATTGACGACAGAAAACAAACAAAAAATAAAATAAAATAAAATGAAGATGCAAAAGTCAAAAAGAAAAGAAGAAGGTGACCGACCGACCTGTAATGGAAGAAGGGCTCACACCCTTAATCCTCCTATTGCTAAAGCAACCACCCATCTTTATTAATCGATTTAAAAGGTTACTTACGGCTTTCAAATGCAAGCAAAAAAACAAAAAGGTGTCTAACCACGAAATTCGGTCACGGAGTCTATAATGTTTGTAGCCTCTTTTTTTTTTAATTTATAGAGGGGTTCGCAGTCTGGATTGGATCGGTGATTATGAAAATAAAAATTATCCCATCCAATCCCTTGTAATCATCCATTCAGTTTTTATGATTATTATACAAATAATATCTTTTGTATAGTCTGGATTGTATCGGTGATTTTGGAAATTAAAATTATCCGATCCAATCCCTTGTAATCAGTTTTATGATTATTATACAAATAATATCTTTTGTATAGTCTCGATTGTATCGGTGGTTTTGGAAATTAAAATTATCCGATCCAATCCCTTGTAATCATCCATTCGGTTTTAATCATCCATTTGGTTTTGGAAAATAAATCAATGGAAAAATTAAAAATATTTTCTAATTACTCGAAATAACCCATCCTACGGCTTAAATGTATAAAAATAATAAATTTGATTAAAATATTTGTTCCTTATTTTTTCAGTTTAAAATTTGAATTTTTATTAACCTTGATTAAGTGGAATTCAACAAATGTTTGTTTTTTTCCATAAAAAATGCATTTTTAAATACTAAAAACATCCAACCCTACAATTTAAATTCAAATCTAAAAAAAAAAGAAAATAAATGGAATTCAAACTTTCGGTTCTGATTTTTTAAAATTTAAAATTTGATTTTTTACTAACACCCTTATTGATATTCCCTAAACCCTTTTCCTTCTCTACATTTTCAACAAACATTTTCAGTGGTATTCAAAAATTTACTTTTGTTTTCCAAAAAAAAAAGATTTCGTACTAATCAACAAAATCCCAACCTACAAATTTCTTTCTTATTTTTAAAATTTAAAGTTTGGATTTTTTTTTAACCTTGATTCAGCGTAATTCTAAAATTTACAACTTTTGAAAAATAAAAATATTTTCTAAATACTCGAAAGAAACCAATCTACGGTTTGAATGTATAAAAATAATAAATTTGATTAGAACATTTTATCCTTATTTTTGCAGTTTAAAATTTGAATTTTTAATAACCTTGATTAAGTGGAATTCAGCAAATTTTTGTTTTTTTTTTCATAAAAACAGCAATTATAACTATTAAAAACATCCAAACCTACAATTTAAATTCAAATCTGAAAAAATGAAAATAAATGGAATTCAAACTTTGTCAAGTTTGCTGACGTGTCGCTTTCTCCTTCACTTTCAGCTTTGTGTTCACATTACAGAATTTGAAAAACCTTTCCTTCTTTGATAAATCAGTTAATAAAATAAATATAAAACAAAATCAATTTTTCAAGATGAATTCGATGGACAAGATTTTTTGATTTAAATCAATGGTCAAGATTTGTTGTAAATGTTGGTGGCAGATAGCTCATTAATGTATATATGATTGCTCTTTTAATTTCCAAATTTGAATTTGAAATTTAACTTGAAATTTTAAATTTGATTTTTGAATTCTGAATGGTGAGAGGCAACTTATTTAATGTTGACAGCCTTACAGGCAACTCATTGGAATTGGTCAGCTGATTCAATTGCTTTTTACATTGGAATTGCTCATCTGAATTTTAAATTTTGAAATGGAATGACTCAGCTGTTTTAATTGCTTTATACATTGAAATTGTTCATCTGATCAATAAATTTGAATTTTGAATTTAAAATATGGATGGTGGGAAAAGATTTGGAAAGTTTTGGGTCATCTAATTTAAAGGAATTCCATTCTTTGGCAAGTTTGCTGATGTGTCGCTTTCTCTTTCACTTTCAGCTTTGTGTTCACACTACAGAATTATAAAAACCTTTCCTTCTTTGGTAAATCAGTGAATAAAATAAAATAAATATAAAACAAAATCAATTTTTCAAGATTAATTCGATGGACAAGATTTTTTGATTTAAATCAATGGTCAAGATTTGTTATAAATGTTGGTGGCAGACAACTCATTAATGTATATTCATAGGGGTATTTGTTTCTTCTTTTACAAGAAAAAGGAATAGTATTCCTGCCCAAACATAAATTGTGTGATCCATAAGTCAAAAGAATAAAAAAAAAAAAACATTAAACAACAACATTAAAAATTTGTAAGGGTGTTGTTCTCTCCTACGACAGGAGAAAAACAACACCCTTATTCATATTATTATTTTTTTATCAACATGTAACACAGCACATGCAATTAAGCAACCAAGCTTAAAAGCATGCAATTGTGAATGCATATAAGGATTATGATACTTATATTATATATCGAATTTTCTCCTTTTAAGATTATGATTGCTATTTGTAAAAAATTAATTCAACCCAAAAATTTAAGCAGTTGGATAAGGACAATTTTAATGGTTTATATTATTCTTTGACACACACCGTCACGCAAAAGTTTTTTGAACTTGAAGCGTGGACGTTGCACAAGCCTGATTTTTGATTTACTTCGTGATTTACTTAATTCCATTAGAAAATGGGGCGGCAAGGATTGAATTCGTAACCTTATAATTACTGAAGCTTTGATACATGTAAAGAAACTTAAGCTGTTGTGTGAGGGCCTTCTAATGATTTATATTATTCTTTAACACTATTTGTTGTTCCTTTGGCAGAACTTGAGAAACACATTGATGATCTTCATGTCCTCATATCTACACCATTTCACCCTACCTATGTCACTTCGGAAAGAATAAAAAAAGCTAAAAATTTAGAGCTTCTTTTGACTGCTGGCGTTGGTTCTGATCACATTGATCTTAAGGCTGCTGCTGCTGCTGGTTTAACTGTGGCAGAGGTCACAGGAAGCAATGTAGTGTCTGTTGCTGAAGATGAACTCATGAGAATCCTCATTCTAGTGAGGAATTTCTTGCCCGGGTACCATCAGGCTAGTACTGGAGAATGGAATGTTGCTGAGGTTGCACATAGAGCTTATGATCTTGTTGAAGGAAAGACTGTTGGAACTGTTGGTGCTGGACGTACTGGGAGGCTTTTACTCCAAAGGTTGAAACCCTTTAACTATAACCTTCTATATCATGATAGAGTTAAGATGGAAGCTGAATTGGAGGAGCAAATTGGAGCTAAGTTTGAGGAGGACCTTGATGCAATGCTTCCAAAGTGTGATGTAATTGTTATCAATACCCCTCTCACTGACCAGACAAGGTACAACTTAATGCCAATCCAATGAAAGAATTTTTAAAACTTGAAATTTTAGCCATTTATAATTTTTATGGGCAATGCATGATCACATGGAATTCATAGCTAATCCAATGTAGAAATGACTAAATAATTTGCTTGAATGATGAACATAACATGTATATTCTAAGCATTTTGTTGGTGGGACAATTCTTTGATCATTTTTCAATAATGAGTAGTAACCAAAGTTTTTTATGATTCAGGGGATTGTTTGACAAAAATAGAATTGCCAAGTGCAAGAAGGGTGTCTTGATTGTTAACAATGCTCGTGGGGCAATTATGGATACCCAAGCTGTTGCTGATGCTTGCTCTAGTGGGCACATAGCAGGTAATTCTAAAATCAGCTGATAAAAATTTGTGTGTTTCCAACAACACAAGAGATTATTGTTGAAGTAATGTGACAACTTTCATACTAAGTTGTTTAGAGGTGA